GAAACGGTATTGAATACCCTAAGGCTAAGGTCAAACGTCGAACTTCACATGAGCCGAACCTTTTGACATCAAAGAATACTGCCTTATTATCCACTGTTTCAATTAGGTTCGACTCATGTAAAGTTCGACGTTTGACCTGATCCTTACACAACGTTCACAAAATTGATTACTAAAGATTAGTGAAACCAAACTGACTGCCAATTAACAAAGTTATCGATGCGAAGCACAAGCACAATAAGCACAGAAATATTTAAGCTATTTGCAATTAGATTTGATTCATTAGGAGTTCGTCGTACATAGGCAATTAATCTTTATATTATAATTCGGGTTAACAGTCAGAAACATACGAAAAAAGATTTGTTGTTCATGGTTTTGTATATTGAATATTTCGGTCAGCATCCGTTGACCATCTACTGTAATATCAATAATAGAAAACAATGGAATTAGTGAATTTGTGCTATTTAGTATTACTAAAGTTTCACGGTTATATTCTTTGCGCTTTATCATACACTAAGCCGGGCTAATAGCGCAGCGCAACCGTGACGTCATCAAAACGAAGACAAAGGCGAAATTCGGACAAACAAACTTACTAGTTTACTTTCAGCAGATAATTTTCACAGCCGATCGCAGTTGATCTCAGTTTACATGGGTTATTATTGTAACTTTAAGTAAAACTAATAAAATCGGTTCGTATAATCCTCGTAGCGGTTAAACAGAATGCAATGTTTGTCCGAATCTTTAAGCTATTTTTAGAATCAGTGCGATGCGCTATTAGTTTAGTAAACTCACTGCCTTTGCTCATTCAGGGTACGATTCTTTGATGAAGAGGATCTCTGAGATTTTCCTTTTATTTAATTGAGTGAACCTCTCTGCACTGTCATTTACTGCCAGTCTGCCACGGTGGCCGGGTGCTCAGTCAGCCCAAGAAATGCAAATGTTTGCAGTTTATTGTAAATGAATGTAGTTAATCTGTTAAGAAGTATCGCAAAAATGTAAGGCTTGTTTTTATTAATCTTGGATGACTAAACTTTGATATTATGTCGTTTATTATTTCCTAGCAACTGTATAAAGTTTGAGCTCGCTCGATCCGAGGCTCATTTGCCGATTATTTGGCGCGATAGAGAGCTTCCCATGCACGTTATTCTGTGTTTATCCGTACCCTTGCTGGATTAGTCATGCACCGTCGTTTTGTTCTTTTTTCCTGCATGGGAACACTTATTATGTATTATATTCAGAAAGATCATCTTTGAAAGCCTGACCAATTCGGTATTTTGGATCTGACGACATTTTTAATTTTTAATAAATGATATCAAAAAAATTATTAACTATTGGTGGTTTTCAACTATTTCTATTCGATTTCAACCAGATGACGTAACGTGAAAACGAAGGATATATAGTTTCTACAGTTAAGAGGCAATGTCTGTAAAAATCAAACGCCTTTCTAAGACCTACCATTTTCACCTCGGATTTAGGCTGAATTAAGGGCGCCGACGGCCAAAATCGATTTTCACGATTTTCTCAAAATAAGTGAAATTATTCAAAATGAACATCAGTACGTTTATTTGAGTGGTATTCCACACCTTTGGACCAAATATGAACAAAATCAATTTTTTCAACTTGGCAACGGATTTTCGATTATCTTTGATTTTTACAGACATTGCCTCTTAAATTCACGCCCAGTCAAGCACAATATATAGCTCTCATGAGCAGTGAAGTATAACAAGTTACTCTATTTATGCAATCGTAATAAGGTTTGAGCTGTGTTGTGCTTTAACATCGCAAATGTAAAGTGCCTTCCACGTCCCGATTTACTTTGCGTTTTGATAGTTATTTTCGCCAAAACTTCACCAACCGACAAATACAGGGGTAAGAATAGCAGTAATAGATTTTTGATATTTTAGATAATCTATTTAGAGGTCTTAATATAAGTAGAGTGCACGACTGAACTTTCCTTGACACCGAATTTATTTACATCAAAGAATGCCGCCTCATTATCTGCATGGAAAATTCGACGTTTTCCCCAGGCCTAAGTCTACCCGCGAAACCATTACAGGCCATGTACAGCGTTTAAAAGTATAAGTTACCAACTATTTACTTGAAAAGTAAGGGAAATTGCGTACCCATAATATCAATGACTCGGATGTGTTGTTTTCAAATGATTTCATAATACTTAATTATCCAGGGTAATGATTCTACACATGCTTTAGAACCAACACTTGCTCTAGGCTTTTTTTTGGCTCTTTCTTGGTGCTGCAGGACACAATGAGTTTGGAGCTAAACCATACCCAACAATGTCTTTTACAGATAAACTTAAATAATTAAAGCTACATATAAGGAATTTAAGATGAGACGAAATGAAATGCTTCATTAGTAAGACTTTAAAGTGCACATGAACCCTTCGACAATACTTTTAGTACTGGTTCTGCATAAAGTAAATAGTTGATTAGTAAAATATTTCTTGATTTGACATGCGTCTCTAAGTTATGAAGGTTTATACTCTCATAGGTCTAGTCGCATATAGGCTTGAGTCGTCGACGACATTTTTTGAATTGACTGTATATTTACAACACACGACACTCAACTCACATGTTGTTTTTATTGAGGGAGTTATAGAGAACAACACATCAAACAAACTCAACTCACATATGACTGATCCAGCCCGAACCGCGGGGCTCGAACCTAGACTACAGCGGTGAGAGGCGAGCGGTACTGAAACCACTACAAATATATCATGCCTTTTGAAACTGATATTAGAATTAGAAAGCTTCTATCTTGTAGAAAACAATATGACTTGTTCACTAAGAGAACTCATATAACTTTATGAGCCTGCAACCCTACATCGAGTAAACAATATATTCTTTACGTAACCTTTTTTATTAATCTAGGGCCTCGTCCCCACTAATATAATTTCGAAACCTCATTGCGCTTACRCCCCTCGATGACATGACGAGGGGAAATTGTGCAACATCATCTGCGCATGCAAAAATAGACGTGCCGGTGTCATCGGACGCCAACGTTTTCTTTAGAAAGCTTCCCCTTTCCACTGCCACATTAATGATAAAACGGAAAAAAATCATTAGAGTGGACGGGGTCTAGGAGTTTAATTTTAATTTCGTACGGATGGAAGTGGAGTTTAGGGTGCCGGTTAGGTTTTTGGGATCAAAGGAGGACGAGGGAGGAGAATCGAAGAGTCTGGACAAAAACCTACCTCGAATCAAGGGAGAGTCGCAACAAACTCTCTTGAGTTCAGGAATCGAAACCGAGATCCCAGAGAATAATTTAAATATCTTATTAAATATTTGGATCTCAAAACGACCAAGCCATTATGCGAACATTGTTCGACGTGTGTTAAAGGGTGAGTCCGTTAAGAAACCATCTTCTCTTATTGTGTTTCCTAGAACATATCTTATCACTTAGGGAACGAACTTCTGGTTCCCCGACATGTGCATGAGTTGGCCGCTCAAAAGACATACACACAGAGTAATAGTGGGATTTCTGAGTATCGTGACGGTAATCATGGTCTTCTTAACGCTCCACTTTTTGCCTCAGACGTGTAATACATGTAAGTCGAATTATATCATTACGGAGAAAACCAGAAGAGATCATGATGATTTTCCAGCTACTGACCAAGACGAGGGGTGTGGTTTTGAAAAAAACGATGTTAAGAAATTTAAATTTGACAAATGGGGWAAGGATGTTTTGGTTTTCCTGCACATCCAAAAAACGGGAGGAACGAAGTTTTCGCTAGATTTAGTGCAAAACTTGAATTTTAATCCCCCATGTAACTGCGAGCAAAWGYCAAGACCCAATTMAYYWTTRCTACRGTGCAGTTGCAAAAGCCTGGACCCTTCTAAGATGTGGTTATTTGCAYCGAATTCTGTCGGCTGGAAGCCTTGCGGAATGCACTGGGACTGGACCGAACTTCACGATGGTGACTGTGTAGCTAACTATGTGAAGAGRCACAATGGTGAAAACACACATCTCTTCTACTCAACATTCTTACGAGAACCAGTCAATCGCATTCTAAGTGAGCTTCGCTGTCACCAAGAGGGAATAACGTGGGAGMRTSGATCTGTCCACAAGTGCAATGGTAGACGTCCAACAAAGGAAGAACTCCCCTCGTGTTATAAAGGCATCCCATACAGCAACATCACCTTAGATGTATTCCTCGACTGCAAGTCAAACTTAGCTCTCRACCGTCAAGCACGGATGCTAGCCGACTTGACTCTTGTGAACTGTTATAATTCCAGCTCAGGAATCCTACAACGAACACGAGAACTAATCATACTCAACAGTGCAATCCAGAACCTCAGAAGCATGGCTTACTTCGGRCTTACAGAGTACCAGAAAGAAAGCCAATATTTATTTGAAAAGACGTTTGGAATGACATTTATTCACCCTTTTGAGCAGCGAAGTTTGAATCGGACAAGAGCAGGGGTCGCGATGCAGCATGGAATCATGCCTAGTGATATAGAAAAGATCAAAAAGCTGAATGATGCTGATATACAACTCTATGAGTATGCCAAAAAACTGTTTTTCTATCGGGTTCGACATTTTCAAGATGAAGATTCCCGAAACAAAAACATTTGACTAGTCGGCAGGTTACGTTTGATGAACTTTAAAGTTKGAAACRGTATTGAATACCCTAAGGCTAAGGTCAAACGTCGAACTTCACATGAGCCGAACCTTTTGACATCAAAGAATACTGCCTTATTATCCATTGTTTCAATTAGGTTCGACTTATGTGAAGTTCGACGTTTGACCTGAGCCTTACACAACGTTCACAAATTGATTACTAAAGATTAGTGAAACCAAACTGACTGCCAATTCACTGTCAGTCTGCCACGGTGGCCGGGTGCTCAGGCGGCCCAAGAAATGGAAATGTTTGCAGTTTACTGTAAATGCATGTAGTTAATCTGTGTAAATATCGCACAAATGTAAGGCTTGTTTTTATTAAATCTTGGATAACAAAACTTTGATATTATGTCGTTGATTATTTCCTAGCAACTGTATATAAAGTTTGAGCTCGCTCGATCCGAGGATTATTTGCCGAGATTTTTCAGAATTTGACAATTTTGAAGTCTCGGGAAACTCTAATCGAAACTGCAGTTTGATCGCTGATCAATGGATTGGCTATTCCATCGAAACTAGCAAAAAACATCTACGCATGCGTGCATTTAATGCCAGTACGTTTTCAATTTTACGAATGTACACTTAGTTAAAAAAGGTTATGGAAGAGAAACGACCGAAAGGAGCGGTGGGTCTTTCATATTCTTTATAAATATCTATTGGGTGGCAGAAACAATTGTTCATGCTTGGTGTATCCATGTTTTCAGTCGAATTTTTACATATCTAATAAGGGTAACCATATACTCCACTTATACTGCGGAGGCATAGGAAAGGCGATAAAGACAATGTGTACGTAATAGCCTTAAATCTCAAGAACTGACATTAATTTTTGGTATTTTGAATTCATATATGGTCATTTTTCAGCTAAATATTTGGATTTCTTTGGTTCGATAGTCTTTGTGTGACGAACCGTTGATCTGGCTTTACCAAAAATCCACAACAGTTGTCCAAAACAAACTAATTTGGCTGCAACTTAACCACAGTCGACACGGATATAAAACTGCAAGACAGTGATTGATGGAAGAAATCAAGTTTTCTGTAAGTATTTGTATGTCCTTGTGTGCATATATAGCTACTTGTTTAAAAACATGTTTGTTTGATGGAGATCGGATTACTTAGTATTGATATAGCTTGAGAAAGCGGAATTTCAAACCAGAAATTTTATAAGAGATTTTATATGCCATTCTTAATTATTTTGTGATTTTTTAAAAGAATTACAGCTAAGCAAATGAATATTATTCAAAACTACTGACTTACTTGTTGTCGTGTGATTCCGATCCAGGACCCTCACAGTCACGCTCCGTATGGCAAAGATGGGTCTGGGTACTACTCGACAAACGTCCTCGCATGCTACGATGTGAACGAACTGGCGATTAACCTCATGCTGAAGGCAGCTCGTTCCATTCCTGTCGACAGCAATTCATCAGTGTTTACCTTAGTGGATTACGGAGCAGCTGACGGAGGGACTTCTATGCCTCTCGTGTACGCATGCGTCAAAGAATTGCGTAAAAAATATGGGGATGAGTTGGCAATACACGTCATCTACGAGGACCAGCCCATCAATGATTTCAAGTCGTTGTTCATGCTGTTACAAGGTGAGATCGTCAATTACACGGTCACGTGATGACGACCATGGTGGGTAACGTCACTTGATCTAATTTGCTATTGTCTTGGCTATTATCTCTTTATTTATTTATTTCACAATTCGCCACGTATGGTAGGTGATACAGCAATAGTACACGAAGTCCCTTACAAGGCTACTCACCCGTTATTACTGGTTTTTTTGGCATTTTCCTCAGCTCCCTTTTCTGTATAGTAAGCTTCCAAAAACCTTGGTAGGAGCTTCCTCTTTATTCGCTGTCGTACGTCTCTTACAAGAGCAGCCATGCATCAGGCATGCACTCGTTAGCCAGCCATTCTACCTGTCTGTCTGTCCTTGSTGATTATCTCCAGCTAACATAGATCTTACTACTAGTTTTCATTTCATATTTCTCATAACAGGCTTGATTCCCGGCCCACCTAGTTTCCATGTGGATTTCCCAAATGTTTTTGTCACAGCCAGTGGGACTAGTTTCTACAGTCAGTGTGTTCCCAACAACAGCGTGACTATTGGTTTTTCTGGTACGGCATTTCATTGGTTGCGTGACAAGCCATGTGATATCACGGATGCCACAAGTTACGTTGCATCTACTGTTCCTGAAGTAAAACAGAAATACCGAGAACAAGCTGAAAAAGACTGGGAACTAATACTGATGAAAAGAGCTGCAGAATTGATGCCGGGTCAGTGGAAAGAGCTTTCTTTTTTTTTTGTTTTCGCACATCATTTTTAATAATAGTCCAGCTGCTAACGTCAAAAAAAA